ATACATCATCTAGTACTATGTTTTCATATTTACAAATTATCTAGTAATGTCACAATATCTAACAACATTCAAAGACCGCCTAGTTTTGCTTTCTTTTATGTTCGCAGAAAATCTGGTAACATACACTATTTTGTTCACAGGCCATGTAGTTTTCTTAATGAATACACAATAAAACACAATATTATAGGAGGTATGATTTTTATTTTTTATTTCCATTTCACACCAACAACCTTTCACCCTATACATACATGCTCACCAAAATAATAAAAGTCCCTGTTTGGAACCATTGATCCAATTGTAGCTCATGCAATCACTAGACAATTAATACAAAAAATATTGAAAGACTTAATATCGGGAGTCACAAAATGATGAAGGAATTATACAAACGTCTTAATCATCTTGTGAAATATATTATAAAAAACAAGTACACGTAGTGCTGATCTGTTCCAACACCTGTAAAACCTTGAACCTTTAATACGAAACTGTCATCTGTATCCTTGATTGTATTTAGTAAAATATATATCTCAATATTCAGGTATGACACATATCTACATAGCTACCTCATACTGATTTATATACATCCACTGGCTTACTGCAATAACAACATATTCCATTTTTGGACATGATAAAAAACCTGTAAGTGTACATACTTAATCAGCTGTAAGAAATCCTTATGAAACAACAGACATTGAAACAACAGACATATCAATGTATTCTTGAAGTCATTTGAACAGATCATAAGAATATCCAAAGCTATAATTTGACAGGAATGGCATTTAGTAAAACAACATTGTGAAAAAAACACAAAATTATGTGCAAAGAGATAAAATTGATTAATTCATCAATTTTAATCCAAGGCAAATATTCAAAGAAATCTTTCTTTGGTTTGGGGCAATTATTTAAAACTAATTTTTATATAAAATAACATGTGTACTTAATAAATTTTATAATTTGAATTCATGGTTGATAAGTGACAAGTTGTTGACAGGCCGAGGGACAGAGTCTGATTCTCCAGCCTCACACCTGTTCAGACTGACAGAGTTGTATGCCCCTGGGAGCTGCACCTGCAGAAAACAATCAAACAATTAATAGACACATGCATAGCGGCGCGTGACATGCTCAGCCTACAGGGTACAGACAGGGTAGTGGTAAAGTGTAGCGAGGACAAAGTTAGACAGGTGCACATAGCTGAAGCCTTAAATGCCAACAAACTACAGACTATATCTGTATCAAGATATCTAACAATTTAATCTGTTTCTTTGATGTTCCGACTGATAAGAACAAGAAATGAAAAGTTTGATAAACTAACTGCAAATTGGAGTGTGGCCTGTGTTTATCTGATGTTCTGTGTGATAACAGATGAGAAATCTTCGTGTGGTAAGGTAGCAAGTACAACTGTCACCTGTAATATTGGGTAACATGTATGTAGTTAAGGTAAGTCTGGTACAATCAACACCTGTCTTAAATGATAACATGCATGTATTTAAGTAAATATGATACATTGACTGTCACCTCTATAAACATTGCTGAGCCACACAGTGTGGGATATTGCTGAGCCACACAATGTGGGATATTGCTGAGCCACATGATGTGGGATATTGCTGAGCCATTCGATGTGGGATATTGCTGAGCTAAATGATGTGGGATATTGCTGAGCCACACAAAGTGGGATATTGCTGAGCCACACAAAGTGGGATATTGCTGAGCCACACAATGTCGGATATTGCTGAGCTAAATGATGTGGGATATTGCTGAGCCACACGAAGTGGGATATTGCTGAGCTACACAATGTGGGATATTGCTGAGCTACATGATGTGGGATATTGCTGAGCCACAGGATGTGGGATATTGCTGAGCCACACTATGTCGGATATTGCTAAGCCAAACAATTTAGGATACTGCTGAGCCACAAGATTTGGGATACTGCTGTGCCACATGATGTGGGACATTGCTGAGCCACATAATGTGGGATATTGCAGAGCCACATGATGTGGGATATTGCTGAGCCACACGATGTGGGCTTATTGCTGAGCCAAATGATGTGGGATATTGCTGAGCCACACAATGTGGATATTGCTGAGCCCCACGATGTGGGATATTGCTAAGCCAATGATGATGTTCATTGCAATTGCTGAGCCCTGATTTTGTACATTACAATTAGATACACGATGTGGAACAATTGATTTTGTAAATAGCTAAGCCAAATTATTTGAAACATAGCTAAGCCCTTGATGTTTTACATTATTCCTGGTATGAGCTGATTTCATGATTTGCTAAGCCACAAGATGACGTACATTTCTGAGCCATACGATGTCAGACATGCCTAAGCGACATGATATAAAATATAACCTCTAGCCTCTGTGACAGACTGCTACATGATATAAAATATAACCTGTATCTAACACTAGGCCCTTAACATAACAGGTCAACATTAGACTGTATTTAACACTAGGCCCTTAACATAACAGGTCAACATTAGACTGTATCTAACACTAGGCCCTTCACATAACAGGTCAACATTAGACTGTATCTAACACTAGGCCCTTAACATAACAGGTCAACATTAGACTGTATCTAACACTAGGCCCTTAACATAATAGGTCAACATTAGACTGTATCTAACACTAGGCCCTTGACATAACAGGTCAACATTAGACCGTATCTAACACTAGGCCCTAACATAACAGGTCAACATTAGACTGTATCTAACACTAGGCCCTTAACATAACAGGTCAACATTAGACTGTATCTAACACTAGGCCCTTAACATAACAGGTCAACATTAGACTGTATCTTACACCCAAAAGGAGATTAAAAACATTCCATATCAATGTACAACACAAACCTAAGTGAGCCAGGAATTTTATCACTGATAGATAAATTACGCCACAAATATTTGATGAGCTCATTTATTAAAAGTTAGTTGCTATTCCGTGACTTTTCAAAACAAGATGCCTCTTTTTGACTTTATGAAATTCACAATCCTATTTCAATGATATACATTTTGTATTGTCATTATTTTCAAAATTTTTGACAACAGCTCTAAAACGAAAGTTGTAGAATGAAAGACTGTCAATTACACCTGAGGACGAAATGATGGTGCTGCTGTCGGAAAACTGATCAGATATGAGGAATCTTACAAGTAAACTGCAGTGATGTGCTCCTAATTTGATGTACATGTATGATGTTGACTCTAACTTTGACCACAAAACATCAACCAATGTTGAGGTAGTGGCAGCCATTAGATACATGACGTGCACAAAGATTCCACTTGACTTTGAAATTGGCCTGCAGACTGACATGATACCAACAACCATAAACCAAGTTAGATGAAAACTTGTATATGATTAAGAAAGAAATTCCAGTGTATTGCCTAGGATAAATACGTGATCTTATTAAAATGCAAAGATTCCAGCTTGGGCTAGGCATGGGCATTTATCAACATACACCAGTAAAAACCTTTACAGAGTTTTAAAACATGTCTAAAAGGAGAATGTCAATCAGAATCGAGGAATTGTACTTAACAAATTAAATATGCACAAAATCAACCCAATCTTTGAACTTGGCCTGAGTATAGGTATTAAATAAGCACACTCAAACATTGACTGAAATCCATAATAGTTGTTGTCCTGAATGTGTTGACCAATCAGAACTAAGGATGTAATATCTGTATTCTTAGTATACCTAGGTATACAAATTCTGCTCATCTTTATACTTGGCCAGGGTATTGCCATTTGAAGTCTGTTATCATTTATAGAAGTTATTGTTATGGTCCTTCAGAACCTGTTATGAGATCCAAGAAGGATCTTGGCATCCAACATTGTAAGACCATCATTGGTTCTTTGTAAGATTGTTTTTATCTTTTCTTTTAACTGTTGTATTGATAGTCTTTTCTCCCACCCTTCACAGGTGTCTCTCGTTTAAGTAGGGAAAGATCAGCTTGTAACCCCCTAGGGGGAGATAGCCTCGTGTTGATTAGCACGTGTTCTATTGTGACGTCATTAAAAAGTGTCATCAGTAATTGTAACGTCATCAAAAGTGAATGACGATATTCATACCACACATGTGTTTTTGTTTACAAACATGGCAGACTACTGTTGGTGGAGTTGTGACTGAAATAATAGGATGGGAGAAAAATGATCATCCCCTACCTTGAGGGTGTACTAGAGAAATATCTGAATATGCAAATTTCTTTGTCACACCCTCAAGGTAAGTGAATTCAAAGATTCTATTAGTTAACAGTAAATGAAACTATTTGTAACCGTTGATTAAAATTTCATAAAGCTTGGTTTGAGAGTGTCCTTCCAAAGTCATCAGTGAGGTCATTGTTCATTTCTTGAAAAAAAAGCAATAACAAACTTGAACTTTCAAAATACAAGATGGTCAACTGGGGATTTCACAAACTTTCTTAAACTGAAAAAAAGCAAAGAGGCATAACTCCCTGAAAAGAGGAGAAACCTGCATGAAAAAGGTAGGTGTATGCACATCTTCATGTCATACTGATTATGTATTCAAATTTGAAGTGAATCTGGCTAAAACTGTGGAGGGAGTTGATTTCACAAGACCTGGGAGGTATTAACACTTATATTATGACGTGATGATATCAGGATTACTGCTTTCAAGTCATGATTCAAGCACTTAGCTTTCCTTCCTTTGTGTCCAGTGACTGTATACAGTGTATATAACTTATTGTTACTGGGTTGGGAAGTGAACTGTTATATAATATGACCTTTTCATGCTCTGTAAAATATAAATATTCATGTAGTTTTAAGCTGTGAATTTCATTTTTGCTTACACATGCAACAGGCACAAAGTTAAAAGTACAACAGTACATCCAAATTTACTGTATTGGGATCCCAAGCCTCTGGCCCCAAGCCAGTTGCACAAACTTTATTAATGAAATGTGAAGTCCTCTTGAAATAAGAATTCAGTTGAGGGTATTGATACAGCGATCTTTCTCCTTGATTTTATATAATATCAACAGAAAACACACCACAGCTACAACTGTCCTGAGCGTCACAGAGGTTTACGTATCTGATGTTTATTTGTTCAAATACGGGAATGGTATTGATATAGCGTTCTTTCTCCTTGATTTTATATAATATCAACAGAAAACACCCCACAGCTACAACTCTCCTGAGCGTCACAGAGGTTTACGTATCTGATGTTTGTTTGTTCAAATACGGTAATGGTATTGGTATAGCGATCTTTCTCCTTGATTTTATATAATATCAACAGAAAACACCCCACAGCTACAACTCTCCTGAGCGTCACAGAGGTTTACGTATCTGATGTTTATTTGTTCAAATACGGTAATGGTATTGGTATAGCGATCTTTCTCCTTGATTTTATATAATATCAACAGAAAACACACCACAGCAACAACTCTCCTGAGCTACAACTCTCCTGAGCGTCACAGAGGTATCTGATGTTTATTTGTTCAAATACGGTAAGGGTATTGATACAGAGACCTCCTTGATTTTATATAATATCAAAATTGTAAATTTAAACTCACCGCTGAAGTTGAGCTGCTAGAAAGTGACTAATGTCTCTCTCTTAGAATTTAATCTGTCGAAATTTTTCTGCTGTAACAGTTTTGTCAAGTTTGCTCTGAAGACAAATAAAAAGTAATAACAGGCAAAGAGTCATCATAATTATCAACTGACTAATATCTTATCAAAGTAATACAATAGTAATAGATTGAACAATATATCCAAGTAACACAACGGTACTAAATAAGCAATACATGTACATAAAGTGTTTTCAATGTTAAAATTGATGTTTGTACATTGCTCTTTTTGGATTAAATGATTTTACACCAACATTATGAAGAATTATGATGTTATGGTGTTGTATTTAAGTAATGGGTCTTTTAGAATGATGTAATATTTTTTTTCAATTAGATGTACTGTTATCCAGGGAAGTTAGGCCAAGTATATTGTTTTGTATTATAAAATCTTTTAACAAGAGGCCCAGAGGGCCTATATCGCTTACCTGAATATGTTTAAAATAATTGGTATGAAGTAAAGATATAGCACTCCATGGTAGGTGCTGTAAGTACATATGAAATTTCAGAAAGATCCATCCAGTACTTGAGATATAGCGAGAACAAACTTCAAACAGAGCCCCATCCCTATCCCCCACGGGGGGTCATACCCACCGTTTATATAAAATTGAGTCCCCTTGGCCCAAGGATGCTCCAGATTAAATAAGGATAAAATCCTGTCATTCGTACAGAAGAAGGTATTTGAAGAATTTGCTATGTTTCCCATATTGGGCACCACCCTTCTGCCCCCAAGGGGCAACACTCACACTGCTTATACAAAATTGAGTCCTTTTTGCCCAAGATCCTTCAGATCAAATTGGGAAGAAATCCCTTATTAGTCCCTATGGTAGAAGAAGGATTTTAAAGGTTAATCTTCTATTTCCCATATTGGGCCCCGCCTCTCTGCCTCCAGGAGGGTCAGACACACTGTTTAAACAAAATTGGTTCCCCTTCACCCAAGGATGCTTCATACCAAATTTGGACAAAATCCTGTCATTCCTACAGAAGAAGAAGGATTTTGAAGAATTTGCTATGTTTCCCCTATTGGGCCCCTCCTCCCTTCTGCCCCCAGGGGGGCCACACTCACTGTTTATACAAAATTAAGTCCCTTTTGCCCAAGGATGCTCCAGACTAAATTAGGATAACATCCCTTAATCCCTATGGTAGAAGAAGGATTATAAAGGTTGTACCTCTATTTCCAATATTGGGCCCCGTCCCTCAGGTCCCAGGGGGGCCATCCCCACGGTTTATACAAAATTGGTTCCCCTTTACCCAAGGATGCTCCACACAAAATATGGAACAAATCTTTTCATTCCTACAGAAGAAGAAGGATTTTAGAGAATTTGCTATATTTCCCCTATTGGGCCCCGCCTCTCTGCTAGCCCCCAGGGGGACAAGACCCACCATTTATACAAAATTTGTTCCCCTTCCCCCAAGGATGCTTCTGACCAAATTTGGTCAAAACCTACTTGGACGTTCAGGACAAGTATTGTTTCAAAGGAAAAGTTGACGGATGGACAGACGACGGACACTGCGGTATGGCATAAGCTCACCATGGTCCTTCGGACCAGATGAGCTAAAAAAAAATATACAATAACCTGGACTTAAAATAATAGCAGCCGGATGCTGTAATTTGCATTGATCCTTGACTATGAATTCTGGTAGCTAATTATTTACAAGAAATTTTGTAGCCAGAGAAAATCTTTTTGTATGTACCATGTTAGAAACGATAGAACTCATTGGCTACAAGCATAACGACTTACTACATGTTACATGGAAATGAAAACTTACTCTTTCAGTTGGGTTAATACTCTTCCTAAAAAGTAAAATAGAAAACTGATATAATTACAAAATATGTGCTCCATCATATATAAATATTAACCAGACTACACAAAATCTATATTTAATTATAATACAAAATTTTCTCATTTAACAAGTTAAATTCTACCAGATCATAAATGAATTATACTGAATTGCTCTGCAGACCAGACTCTTCTGGGTCAGCTCTGTGCTCGGCTTAATAAAGGTTATTACAGCCCGCACGATTTTTCGTATTTGTTGTTGTACGTACCCTGTGATCAACATATGCATCTCCTCTGCATGTTTCTCCCGTAACTTTTTATCTACTGTTGTGCTTTTTCGAACCCTTCAGAAAAGAAAACATATACTATAAACAAACTTTTATGTCATTATGATTACAATGAAGATACAGTTTAATGTGATGTCATCACTTACAAACTCTCTTGGCAATTTCATTATGAAAATTACTTAAGTTGAATAGTGCTAAACTTGAACACTAAAAGGCCAGCAAGGCTTCACGATGTGTCTGAACACTAACAGGCCAGCAAGGCTTCACTATGTGTCTGAACACTAACAGGCCAGCAAGGCTTCACTATGTGTCTGAACACTAACAGGCCAGCAAGGCTTCACTATGTGTCTGAACACT